ATAAATAATAATAAAATAATAATGAAACTGGCAAATTTACATTTCCTAACATAAATCGCATGGACTTCTTTCCTGTCATTGTGCATGGGAAAAAAAGTAGGAATGCACTGATACTAAAATTGTGGATGAAACTGATAAACCGACAATTATTTTCAGGTTATAGCTGACAACTGATAAATACCTGGTATTACAAACCTATACTAGTTTGTTTAAAAAAAAGAAAAGGAAAACACACTGAAATCTGCTAACACATGCAAAACTCACTCCAACATGTAGAGATGCACCGATAGCAATTTTCTTGGCCGATTCCGATTTCCGATTTGCCCTTTAAGAGTTTATCCACGGACCCAATATACTGTTACACAACATGCGTTCTCTTTCTCAACTATTTAACGTTCCAAAACTGACTGTGTTTAACTGGATACTCGCCAAGACGGGCATTTTGACATAAATACCTGCTGGTAAAAAAACGGATTGGCTCGGAATTGGAAAGAAGTGAGACTGATCGGCCGGTCACCGATCCGGGCCGATCATGAGGAAAATTGGCCGATTCCGATCCCTGGCCGATCGATCGGTGCATCTCTACCAACATGCGCTCTTAATAAAAAAGCACTCTTCAAGAGACTTCCCTTAAAATAGACAGAAACCATGAAATATCCAATGTCCACAAATTTTAAAATTGGCTAATTGGCAAATGTTTTAATATCCAATGATAATATGGAGCCAGTACATTGTGCATATAGGAAAAAAACAACCAGTACATCATTTAAAAACATTTCCCTTTTTGTAGCAATAATAATAACAATTTTCATTTTGGGTGAACTATCCCTTTAAGGGGAAGTAGGCACTATATTTTAGTATAGAGTAACTAAATATAGAATAGCAGCATCAGTAGCAATCAAAAAATAAATAAATACTATTTATAAACAAGGAAAATCATGGGCAAAAAATCTGATACAAAAATTAAATGCTTACTAACTGGTCAAAATAGCCTAAATTCTTTCATGATTTGTAATAAGTTAAGAAGTGGTTTGGTAATAAAAAAACAATGTGAAAGGAGGATTGAGACTCAGTCAGCTGTAGCGTCATCACTAGCTATGGCTTGTCCATTATAAAACAGACCTGTAAATCTTTGAGTTGGTGGAGTGAGTATGACCAGGTTCTTGTTTATAGTGTCATCCATAATGATTAACACAAGAAAAATGCGAATAAACAAAGTAAACCATATATAAATTGCTCCGTTTCTGAATAACTGTCCCTATACCTACAATAACATGAACATAAACAAGAAAAGGCAATGTTTGACATTGAACTGCCTACCTAGACAAATTTTGGGCATCATATGCATGTTCAGAACACTGTCTAGGTAGACAGGTTTTTAGGTTTGAGACAAAACCAATACTTGATTTCTACATCAGACTACAGCAGTATTAAGTTATAAATATCTTCTGTATAGATGTTCAGGTGCGTATAATGCATGTAAAACTGCTCTCATGTCTCACGTCACAGTAGAGATAAGGCTCACTGTGTGAGACTGGTTGAGTAATAGTTATTTTATTTATCACGTGTGCAGCTTGGTATCTGATTTAACTCATTTTTTGAGAACAGCCAATATTTAATTTCCTCAAACATGATCTTGTCATGTGGATGTGAAGTGTGGAATCCAAGCTAAGTGAGCATCAGTTTATTTACAAAATGACAGAGGGAAAATAAGTTTAGGGGGAAAAACAGCTTTCATTTAATTGTCACTGATACATTGCAATGGCAATCCATTTTAGCACTTACTCCTTAATACAAACTAGCATCTATTTGTGATACTAGCACTTAAAAAATAATAAGTGTAATAAAAATAATTGCACTTATTCCAATAGTAACTACCGTAGTATCCAATAAATTAGTCAAATGTATGTTTTCCTTTGCTAATAGTCCCTATTCTCTTGCTACTGGTGAACAAATTGCAAGTTTTTCCATTGAATTCTATAGGGATCTGTGGTTCTGATATCATTTATTCACTTCCAACTAGCACCTATTCCAGTTTAACTAGTAACTATGCATTATTTATTAAGACATTTTCTTTCGTTACTTGTAACTACTCAAAGTAGTATCCATTCCTGTTTTTCTAGTACAATTTGAACAGGCACAAGTACCTGTTTATTAAACACTAGTGTGATTTCCAAGTGGTACTACTAGCATCTTACTAATATGATTTTAAACTGAACTACAAAATAACCACACTAGTTATTAAATATGAAAAAACATATACATAATTATAGCCACTGAGATAAGAAATGTTACTAATAACAACTGGGATACATACTAGTGTCTCAGTCTCATACTGGCATAGTTGGCAAAAGTGCCAGTACCCAATGAACTGCTAGAAAAACTGTAAAAGGGACCAGCAAGAACTACCACATGCTAATGTACTAGACTAATCTAACAGACATGAACACTTGACATCTGAACCACATATCCCAATAGATTTCGATGGAAAAACAGTAATTTGTTATCAGCAACCCTGTAATAAGTAATTGTTAATTAGGGTAGTGAATAGTAGCAAAGGAATAAGGGCTAGTCTGTAATGAATAAGTATTAGTTTGAATTAACCTGATACTAGTCTCTATTGAATTAATAATTAGTAATTAAAAAATAATAATAAGTAATAGTAACATCAAACAGATAGTTTAGTTAAAAGAATAACTTTTAAACGGCTTGCCATAGATTGGTCAAACTGACTGGACAAACACACGGGTTGCTTTTGTAACGTTTATATCAGAACTCAAATAAAAACTTTTAGACATTATTTTTACAATATAATAAACACCTGACAACATGAGATAAGAGAGCACCTGTCAAAACACACAATCTCTCCCTAACAGCACGGACACATTGTGTCCTCAGGACTAAAAGCAACGCTCGACTGAACTTAACGTTACAAGGTTGGGTAAGGTGTTGAGTGCGTCTTACTTAAATCTATTCCTAACACGAATACTAGTCTGTTCTGTCATTGAACACTAATTAAAGTAATTGGCCCGCTGACTACGCACCTTGCTCTTCACCTCCACGGCGTTCAGAGTTCGGTTGCTCGGCACTCGGTGGTTTCTGTTCATCTTTCGCTAACTGGACCCCGCCGCAGAAACACACTTGCCCTCCCGCGGGCTGCGCTCATCCGCCTTCAGCTCGGTCCGTCCAAAACGGCTTTTCTCGGCTTAATCCAGTTAAAGGCACGTATCTCGCGACAGCTCCGTGTCTTCGCTTGTGTTGTTGTCGGAATCGAGTAGACGCCTGTGTCAACTGAACGCGCTCCGAAACTCTGCCCCAACCCTGCCTCTCACATGCACGCACACACACGCTCTGCCACATAGTACTGGACGGCCCGTGTGTGACGCTGCATGCACCCAGGAAACAGCTCAGCGTCAAGAGCCGACATCCAGCGCGCCCCCTCCGGCCACAAAGGCCATTCTTCTACCACGAACGACTGACTGACTCATTGCCCAGCCCAGTCCAAACACTAACAAAAAACTATTTTGTTCTTTGAAGTACCTTGCTTGGATTTCCATGTAAATACCACGAATGGTAATCATTCAGTACCATGGTATGAAGAATGCTGTATCAAATTACATGGTATTACCATCTGATACCACTACAGTTATTTTTGTGAACAAAATAAACTCATGGACCTAGTCGAACATAAAAAAAGATGATATATTTTAATTTAATTTTTAATGACACATCACTCATATTGCACTTTCAAGCTAAATTTGTCCTGAAAAGTATATTAGTTTTATTTGGTTTTTCATTTGAATGCTACTACAGATTACATACAAAAATTTTACACTGTAATATATAATAATTTGACTGTATTTGAAATATACAGTCAAAAATCGTTTTGAATTTGTGATTACTATGAAAAGAAATTCATAGCAAAAACAAAAAAGTCTGAAACAGTCATGTTTCAGGCATTACACGCAGGTGTTTTGGCACCTGTATATTTTACTGTTCCATATTTTACCCGAACCATGCATTTTATTACCTAATATAATATTAACACACTAATCTACTTGCAGTACCAAAAGTCACTTTGCATCTTAAAATATACTCATAAGCAACTTAGTACTCAAGACAGTAGAACAGAAGAACTTATAGGATGAATTATATTTCATCAGAAAGACCATGAGCAATGTCTAATATACATGTATAAACGTAGACGGAGTACAACACCCACACCAACACAAAACACCATCAGAGTACATAACTGTGCAAAAGTAATAAGGAACATAAATTTAACCAAAATGTGATGTGTCACAAAGGGACTTCTGAGTGACCATTTACTTTTTTCACCATAGAATATTACTTACAACAAATATTTTTAACCATATTTTTAACAATATAGGACATGTATTTTATTGTAAAATATATATATATTTTTTTATAAATGTATATTTTCACCCTAAATTATTATAATTGGTTTATTTTATAGAGGAATTAAATTTATTATATTTAATCATTTATATTTAATTAAATAAATTAAATATATTTTCATTTTATATGGTAAATCACAATTAACCATTATGTGTTTAGGTTTTCACTGTAGCAATATTTTTCCATTAAAACTAGATAACTTTTCCTTTTAAATATAGGTTTAAAAACCTATGTCAGAAAGGCCTGTTGATAATATTTGCCAGTTTTTATTGGTAAAGCTGTAGTCTATACTCTTTCCGGCAGAATTTGTCCACAAAAGCACTGGTTTATAATTTTAAGCTTTTGCACATTTATCTTTGCATAAAGTATTATATCTTTCTTTGTAGGCTACTCTATTTTGAATTGAGAGTACGCATGTCGTTAATTATGGTCATGATTGTACCAGGTCATATTGAAAACGCATCAAAGCACATGTTAATGCAAACTTTTTCACCTCGAATTGCACCAAAGAGCGACATCTGGACAAAGAGTACAAAGAGTACAACAGTACAAAGTACAAATGTAAGCTTTGCATGCCGCACCTTTAGAGGGCGATGGAAGACCTTCAATGTGAGATATTTGCTGTGGAAGAAGAGAGTCTGACAGCGACGAGCACTGAAGTAGGTACACGAGTTCACAAATGTGTGATATTATAAATTGTGAGGTGTCATTACAAATGTTTTCTATTTTAAAAACGCATGGAATCTGAAGCTATAGATGCGCTAGGTTTAAAAAGAAGACTTTGATTCACGGAGCTAACAGGTCCCTTGATAGCCACTGTACAGCTACCACCCATGTAGTCTGCATTTAATAGCTTTCGTGGTTTATGTTTAGGTCTTTTAAAACGCATCGTCATGACAACAGTCCAAGTGCCTGGTATTCCACGTGAGACGTCGTGGATCTCCGCGTGTCCCGGTGGTCTGTGGGAGGTTCGCCGGCGGTGGCTTGGAGAAAGACAACGAGATGACTTAACGCCGATGATGGGCTCACTATGTAAGGTCAAGGTGCGGCGAAGTACTGTTACGGAGGGAGAAACACAACATACTGCTTCTCAAGAGCAGGAATCAACAGCCAGCGTTGATTCTAGCGAGCAAGCTACCTCATACCCCCGCTCGCAGGACTCGGCACTGCAGGTTCCACTGGATGAGTGGTGCTTGTTGTGCATGGGCGAAGGGCAGTGTGACATTACAGAGGGCTGCCTGGAAGGGATGAGGGCTGGAGAGATGTGTGAGGTAAGGGCAAAGCTAAAATAGACCAGGGGTGTCCAGTCCTGCTCCTGGAGGGCCACTGTCCTGCAGAGTTTAGCTGAATCCCACCTCAAACAGCTAGTCAACAACTGTCAGGGTTCTCACAGTCCTGCCTCATTAGAAACTTCCAGGTAGGTGTGTTGGGGTGTTGTGCCCATTTTCGACCCCCTGCCAAATTATTACCCCTCTCGTTGAAATCGCTATCTGATTGCCTAATCCTAACCCCACTTCTAATCCTAACCCCTCCCCCACACCTAACCCTAAACCTACCAATACTAGGGGGGTAATAATCTGGCAGGGGTCAGAAATGGGCACAACAGGGGCAAGATGGAGCTAAACTCTCCAGGACATTGGCCCTCCAGGAGCAGGTTTAGACACCCCTGACTTAAGACCTTTGACATGCAAAAACATAATTTTAACAGTATTTTACTGTAAAAGTGCATGTATTGTTAAAGGGGTCATATGATGCGATTTCAAGTTTTCCTTTCTCTTTGGAGTGTTACAAGCTCTTGGTGCATAAAGAAGATCTGTAAAGTTGCAAAGACTAAAGTCTCAAATCCAAAGAGATATTCTTTATAAAAGT